CTCGGACGCTGCTTTTACCAGTGACCTCATTTTCAACCGTACACTGCTCTACCACGATGATGACGACGCCCACCCCGATGCTTGGCTTCCTTGCGCTCTACATTCCGCGCACGAGTGCCAAATCCCAGCGCTACCTCGCCGCTGGCTTCCTCACGGCCATGCTCGTCCGCACCCTCGGGATGCGCCGCGTGCTTCTCGGCCTCCGCCCTCTTGCCTACAAGCTCTTGACAACTACCAAGGCAGCGTACGACACCCAGCTTCGTCCGTTGCCTGACAATGTCGAGACCATCCCGGCGCTGCAGACGACAGTCGCCACCCAAGACACGACCATTGCCCACCTCACGACCAACGTCGCCGACCTCCACGAAGCCGCGCGGGTCCAGCGCGTCACTGCTACCGAGATCAGCGCCGACCTCAAGGTCCAAGTACACAATTTGAAGATTCGACTCCACCGCACGACCGAGTGCGCGGCCCAAAGCACCAAGGCGCTGCATACCGTCGTTGCCTCCAAAGACGCAACGCTTGCCGCCAGAGACAATACGATCACCGAGCTCCGAGCCCAAGTCGCTGCGCTGCACGAAGCCGCTCGGGTCCAGCGTGTGACGGCTACAACCATCAGCGCCGACCTCAAGGTCGAGCTCCACAATACCAAGATCCAGCTGCACCGCACCGAGGAGCGCGCGCGGCGCGACCTGACCGAGCTCCGCACCGCGTTCAGCACGCTTCAGCAAGAGCACCGCGCACTTGACATAGTAGCGACCTCGACCGCCGCCGTGTCTACAATACGACTGGCCCACGCCCAACAAGACAACGTGGCGGTCAAGGGTCTCGCTGCAGCGGCCATTGCAACACTTGCCGACTGCCGACGAAAGCACCAACTGGAGATGGAAGCGGTCGCATCGGCCGCCAAACGCACTCAGATCCAGTTGTTTCAGTGCAAGCGGGTCCTTGCAGCGGTCGTCGACGAGGCTGTCATGGCTCAGAACGCGCTCCGTCAAGTCACTGCCGAGCGCGACACGATGGCTGCCGCCAACGACCAACTCGTCTCCGAGCTGCGAGCGACCAAAACGCGGGTAGCAGCACTGGACGCCTCGTCGATGGCCGCTTTGGAGCGCGAGCACCAAGCTCGTCTAGACATGAACCGGACGATGGACGAGCAGCGCACCGTCCATCACGAGCGACTGCAAGCAGCGAGAACGCAGCACGAAGCGCTCGAAAACTCAATGCGAACCATGGCAAACCGGCACGCTGCGCGTCTCGCAGAAGCCGCCGCGCACCTCGACGACGCCGACGTTTTGCGTGCAAGAGCGCACGCAGCAAGAATATCGCAGCTTCTCATCCGCGACGTCCAGCAGCGCAAGCTGCAAGGCCAGATCCGGACGCTGCAGATCGCTCTCGACACCGCCAACGCGAACCGCCAAGCCGACGTTCAAGCCCACGCGGTGGCCACCAGCGTCCTTGAATCAAGACACGAGCACGAGGTCCGGGTGCGAAGCCAGGAGTATGCGGCCAGGATGCTGCAGCGCGACCGGCGCATCCGCGACCTCGAGGCGACGCGCGGGTTAGGGAGTATATTTAGGAAAAAGAAGCGTTAGAGACGATAGATAGGTACTAGTAGTCAGTAGTTAGTCGTTTAGTTGGTGAGATAGTTGTGAATAGTTGTCATGGCAATAGAAGAAACTACGAAAGGAACTTGCAACTTTCTCATAGCCGGCAAAGCCTGCCAAACAGCGGCCCCTTTACAAGTGGGAGATCAAGGACCCAGCGCCGCGTCGCTGGACCAAGCTCGTGCCGTCCCGCGGTGCGTGCCTTTGCAAGTTGTTTCGTTGGATTCAGCGGACGAGAGAGCTGCTGGTCAAAGGAAGCGTCTATCGATTGGGAGGTCGAAGGCGTCGGGCAGTTACGAGTGGGGACTTGCTCGGTGGCGCGACGGATCGGCGCTGGTTGACCGACATGACGCGCTCGGGACTGCGAATATCCTCGGACCGGTCGACAACAGGACTACAAGGTGCGGCCAGCGACCCAATTGTATGGCGCTTTCCGGGCACGCGTGTGCGACACCGGCGGCCTTGCTGCGACGTGCCCAAGACGGGTGCGGTGACGGCCAACGGCAGAGGCCGACCCGTCACCGGTCGCGCGGGAAGAGCTCTCTTGGGCGCACTGTAGTAGTTGCCGCGCACTTGTCGCTCCATCTCGACGTCACCATCCACCGCAATAAGGCGCAGCACGTGGTCCATGACAGGCGAAAGGTGTCGTAGACGCTGGGACCAACTCGCGCTCTCGTTGCCTGGAAACTGGTACGCGTGGTGCGCGTACGTGATGTTTTGGGGCTCTATCTGCCGCTGGAGCTTCTCGTGCTCGGCCATGGCAGCGACGAGGCCAAAGCTCTGGCGTATGTCCTCGTAGACCTCGTCCACGTAGCTATGGCCACTGGCAAAGAGCCGAAACCCATCGAGCGCGGTGTGTGGGTTCGAGACAAAGACGCCGTCGACGCGGAGGCATTGACACTTGATGTGCTCCTTCACGAGCGAGAGCGACGTCGGGTACGGGTCGTTCAGGTCCACGTACACGTGAACACCCGCGCGGTGGTAGATTTGCGCGATCGAGTCGTTATTCTCATCGGGCAAGAGCACAGGATGGGACTTGGGAATCAAAATCGCGTCGGCAAAGTGCGCAATGGCCAACGCGTCGTGCTGCAACGTCATGCGAAGCGGCGTCGCGATCGAGCGCGGCACGACGAGCACCGTCCGCCAGCGCGGGTGCAGCTTGTGCAACGTGGACAAAAAGGGCATGTCGCGCGAGACAACGTGGATTGCATCGTCCATATCGGCGTGCAGCACCCGCAGCGCGCCACGGAGGATCGTGTAGAGCTCGTCGATATGGTCGCGGTCGTGGGCGCTGAACGTGGATTCGTTTTCTTCGGGAAACGTAAACGCAATCTCGAGCGGCGACGTTCGCTGCGCAGTGTGGAGGCGCGCGAGGAACTGGAGTACCGTGGTAAGCGTCTGGAGACGGTTGCTCTCGCTAGCGCCCGCGTACCCGCCCCGACCGCGCGGCGACTTGAGCCCACTCGCGTTGGGAAAAGCATGGAGGATCGTGAGCGCCTTGAGCTCGGCGAGCGAGAGATCACTGACCGCGACGCGCGGTGGATGCGCGCGCACGTAGGACGGAAAGATGGCCGCCAAGTCGGTCAACGCCTCGAGATGCGTCGAGCCAAAGACGATCGGGTGCTTGTCGGCCGAGAGGCAGATCGGCAGCACGACGACATCGACGTTCTCGCTGAACGCAAACGCGAGGTACTCGTTCGTGTCGGATAAGAACTCGAGCATCGGGTCGCACGATTTGTGCGCAAAGATCCGCATGCGTCGCAGAGGCAGCCGCCGCGAGAGGACGGTCTCGGGTCCATCGACGGCTTTTTGCGCAGCGAGGTAGTGCTGTACGAGCTTGCGCGCAACGAGCGCATCGCCGCGGGGCCACGCGCATTCGGGGACCGCGTCCGTCGCAGGCGCGTGGAGGTACCGGGCGAGCATATGCAGTATGAACGTGCCGCACTCGGGGTGTCCGTCGAACGAGAGCGCGGTTTTGGTCTTGAATTTGGTCACATACGCCGGTCCGGGCGTGCTCGTGGCGACTTTGGCGCTGGGCACACACGTCACAAGGTCGCCGTGGAGCGCAGGAATGGCGTACACCACGGTTTTGACCGACTGCTGCGACAATACCTTTTCTTCCAGCACATTCCAGTCGAGTCGAGACGGGGAAACGCGGGCGACGTCGCCGCCGAGCGCTTTGGCGAGGATGCTATGGCCGCGCCCGAGCGCCCCGACGCGCCGATGGCGGCTCACGAGGTGCGCAAGGAAGCCAACGACCGATCGGTGCCAGAGCGGCAACGAGTCGTCGTCGTGCCCAGGACCGCCGCAGACCAAGTAGCCGTGGGCCCACTCGTCGAGCGCGACGGTTGGAAACTCGAGCTGCCCCACGTCAAAGACCCGCCACTCGAAATGGACGCCAATCGTCGCGCCCTCGCGCGCAAAGTACCGCTGGTACAGCGCGCTGAATTGCGCGCCAAACGGGTTGGGACAGAGGAGCATGCAGAGGCGGAGCACGGGCCCGCCGTCGCTGGCCACGAGGTCGGGCGTCGATGCCGCGAGCGACTGCATTTCCACGGCCCACATGGCATGGAGCGTTGCAACGTGCAGTGTGCGCTCGACAAAGAGCTTGGCCGCGAGGTACGTGGGCGGCCGATCGACGTCGTCGTCGTCCGCTTCATCGGTAGCCGCGCTCTTGGCACGCCGCAGTCGGCTCGCGTGGTCGCGCCGCAGCGCCAAACTCACGAGGTACTCCCACCGGTGTTGAATGTTTTCGAGGCGATGACGCTCGGCGTGCACCTACTTTGACGTGTGCGACTCGCGTCGTAGTCTCGTCGCACCTCGCGGCGTCGGCGCAGCGCCGTGACCTTTTGCTGCTGGGCGGCGGCGAGAGCTTCTTGGCGGCGGGCCTCTCTCGACTCTGCCACGCGTTTGTCCAGCACAGCTTTGTACTGCGCAATCTACATTTGCTATGCTACAGTCCGTCACGGGATGCGTACTTGGAGCGTCAATAGGTCGTCGTCCACCTCGGGCGCCGACGCGTCGTCAAGGTCGAGGTACGGATAAATTTCCGGCGGCTCAAAGCGGGCTGGATGGTCGATGGCCCGGAACTTGACGTGCAGCCATTTGCGCTGAATGTCGGAGGCCCGTGCTTGCAGACCGGCCTGCACCACGCGCCGGGCCTCGTTGTGCGCAACGTACGCCGCCAAGAGCGTCACGCTCTGGTCACCGTCGCTCAGGTGGCGGATCGCGCGGTTCGCGAGCACATGCGTCTCGGTCGAGATGCGCCGACTAGCATTGCAAGTAGCCAGTGATTCTGGATTTCTGATCGGCGAATGCAATACCTGACGTCGATGGACGCCGCGACGCGCAGGGCGTCGGCGACGACGTGGGTGGCACCGCCACGAAGAGAAGGCGGGAGCTGCGCGTTCGTAATCTCATAGGCCGCGAACACGTGGGCATCGGGCGACGTCGTCTCCTCCGCGAGCTCGTCGAGCATGTCGGCGGACGGGCCAGTTACACCCGTTTCGGCTCAGTGGCTTCAATCCGGCACGGCAATCTGGCCAATCAGAGCGCTTTGGCGCACGGCCCCTAGTTTATGCACACGTCTGCGGAGTAGCAAGGCTGTGGACGAAGAAGCGGTATACAGTTTTGAAGCTCCAAGGTGATGGCGGCAGCGCGCAAGTCCGGATGCAACTGACCTCCAGAGAAGAACGCGATGGCCACCGCACACTATATTGGTACGGCAAAGTGCAAACAGCCCATCACGTGCATGTCGTTTGGCATATCGCAGAGATGGCCGACCTTTGGGTAATCTTGTGTGGCGTCGCACTTTTGTTCAAGAAGCACCAACATTCCAATGCGCAGTAGCTCGCACGCGACGACGACTCGTCTTCAGAGCTCAAGGAGGATCGGCACGTTGCGGTGGTGCTGCCGATGTCACGCGAGACAGTAGTGACACGGGGGCGCACCGCGCATGGGCGACCGGCGGCGGGGCGTAGAAGCGCCACACCCAACTCCACATTCCCATCTTGCACTGGAGAAACGCCTGTTCACTGTGAGGGTGCCCAGTAATCGGCCCCACACAGTTGCACACAAGGCGACGTGGCCGAGGGCGGAAATTTTGGCGCCCACCGTGGCGCGATGGAGACGCGACTGCGTTGGAGCCGCTTGTGTTCGACGTCCCTGAAGCACGTGACCAGGTGGCGAGACGATACAGTGTATGTCTCTGAAGCGAAGAACGGGTTTTGTATCGCGTGTCGTGGGACATGTGTAATGCTATATACATTTTATTCGCTTCGAAATTGTAGGTCGGCACCAAAGGTCCCACGTGGTGCGCAATTAAATTACACTGGAATGTGTGGCGGAGGACCGAGTCGTTTTATTCGGATCGCATCCGGACGCCGTATACAAAGTGGCAGTGTGGGACGTGCCGGATACGCGTTACAAGAACCATCCGAGATTGCCATTCCTCAAATCATCGGCGCGATGAAGAAAGAGTACCTCCGACCCCCAAGCGCGTTCGGGGACGCGCCGTCGCTGCCATCGCTGCCGAGCATGAGCCAGCTCATGACGCGGTCACCGCACCACCATGCGACGTACCCGCCGTCGCCCAGCAGCAGCGACCATGCCTACCGCGCCAAGCCCATGCAGGGATACCCGCGCCACCCGCAGCGCGCGCCGCCGGTTTACTACCCCGAGCCGCGCCGCGAAGTGTACGGTCGCGCGCCAGCGTACGCGCAGATGAACGAGCCGTACTACGAGAGCAGCGTGCCGCGCCAGCAAATGTTTGCGCCGCCGCCGCGCCAGTACGCGCACCCGTCGTACTACGCGTACCCGACCGAGTACGAGCGCGGAATGCCCAATGAAAGCAGCTTCATGCCGCGCCACGAGTACCCCGTGCAGCAGCGACCGTCGTACGAAGCGGACGAGTACGCCCATCACGCGAGTCTCCAGCACAACAAGCCGGCGCCCGTCTACTCGCCCGAGTCGTCCGACGTTCAGGATGGCAAGGACGCCAAGAAACGCGAGCGCTGGACGCAAGAAGAGCATGCGCGGTTCATGGAAGGCCTCAACATGTACGGGCGCAAGTGGAAGAAGATCCAAACGCACGTCAAGACCAAGACGGCGGTCCAGGTAAAGTGCTGTCCCCAGCTGCGACACACGTCGTGACTTATCTGACTAGGTCCGGACGCACGCGTACGGGTACTTTGCCAAGCTTTTGCGCAATATGCCTGAGGAAGATGCGATCTGGGAGGTCGCGGAGGTCGTGAGCTCGCTCCCGAGCTCGGTCCTCAAGGGGCCCGGCAGCGGCAAACGCCGCACCGAGCCCACGACGGGCGAGGACGGCATGGACGTCCTCCGCAAGTTTGTGTTTTCCAAGCGCAAGCCAGACGAGAAAAGAAAAGCAACTACGGACGCGGCCGCCGACTCGACGAGCGACGACTCGTCCGACGTGTCGACGCCCGACACGGTCGCCTCGCGCAAGCGGGACACTGACGCGCCAAGGTACACACCTCAGATCCTATTGCAACCTTGATTTCTTAGCGAGCCTATCTTGTGTAGCAGCGAGCCCAAGCGCCAGCGCACAAGCCATGCGTCGTCGTCGCCGTCGTCCGCTGTCCTCAATGTGCGTCTCTCGAGCCCAACGATCACGAACGAAGCCGCGTGAGCTGCGTCGCCCCTCCTTGGCGCCTCTGTCGCGACCCAGCCGGCCTTTCTCGCGACGTTAATCCAATATGCGAGCATGTGCCCCGATGTTGCTGTGTACCATACAACCACTGAATATTAGCACGACCTAAGTATTACACCAAGAGAATCATGGTACTGATCGCGACCTTCTCTTCCTCGCGCCGTTGGGCTGCAGCCGCAGCCTCTCCTCCTCCTCCGCAGCGACACCCTCCTGCGATCACCGGTCCACGTATCGCCCTCCGCCAAGCTTGTGGCTACTTCGAATATGTGGCGACCGTCTCTGGCGATCATTGCAAGTAGCTACGACACCATTTCAGCGGTTTTTCCACACCAAATCACGCGTGCAGTATATGAAATAGTGTGGACAATCACATCGAATCTCGATGGCGCAACGTGGCACCGTGGTCTCGCTCGTCGCGGTCGTCCTGGCTGCGTGCTGGGTCCAAGGCGCATCGCTCGAGAGCATGCTTGCCATCGACTCTACGGCGGGGACCTTTATCTCTGTCTTTCAGTTTGTCAGCGTCGCGATCACAAGCATCCCGACCTCGCGCCGCGTGCTGCCGCTGCACGTCCATCTTGGCCTCGCATGTCTCTACTTTGGCGTGAGCCAAATGAACTCGGTCGCGCTCACGTGCGGCGTCTCGTTCCCGCTGCTCAACCTCTTTCGGTCATCGACGCCAGTCGCGTCGCTTCTTGTCGGCGCCGCGTGCTTCCGCAAACGCTACATGGTGCACCAGGTCGGCGGCGTCGTGCTCATCTCGGTGGGCATCCTCCTCACAACGTGGATGGACAAGCCGCTCTTTGGTCGCGTGACCTTTTGCAGCGACAGCCAAAGTATGCTCTGCGGCTACCCGCAACTGCAAGCCATTGTCGCGCTCCTCGGGCACTGGCGCGTCGGCGTCAGCCTCCTCGTCACCGCCTTGGTGCTTGGCTCGTTCTTGGGCCACTGCCAAAACGCAGCCTTACGAGCGTACACGAGCTCGTCGAGCGGCGACGTGGCGCGCGAAAGCATGTTCTACATGCACGTGTTCTCGCTGCCGCTCATGCTGCTCTCAGAGCGGTCGACGGTCGCCACGCGTCTCGCCGACTGGAGCCACGGTGATCTCTGGGCGTCATGGGCGCTGGGGCCCATTGCCGTGCCGCATTTGCTTGCGCTGCTCAGCGTCAACCTCGTGGCCAACTACGCGTGCATTCGCGCCGTCTACCACCTCGCGTCGCGCGTGTCGCCCGTGTCGCTGCAAGTGATTTTGACCTTTCGAAAGGCGTGCAACCTCGTCTTTAGCGTCCTGTACTTTGCCCATAGCTTTTACCTCTCGCAGTGGGCGGGCACGCTCGTCGTCTTCCTTGGTGTCCTTCTGTACACGGACGTGCTGCGCCGCGACGAACGCGTCAAAGTCAAAGCAGCTTAACACAAGATTCAACTCGGTTCTTATTGCCATGGTGTCAGTCAAAATACGACTGCAGCGAGCCCGTGCGGCGAATGTCGCACGTCGCGCAGTGGAAGGAGCCGCCAAAGGGCATGAAGTTGCGGAAGGGAACCGGGATGACTTCAAAGCCCCACTCTTTGAAGAGCTGACGCGCCTTCGTCTCGTGCGCCTCGACGACGACGACGCCGGGACGCACGACCAGCACGTTGCACGTCGCCGTCCACGGACTCGTAAAGAAGAGCGGGTGCTCGGGCGAGAGCTCCGGCGTCGGCGCGACAAACACTTCCCAGCCCTTGAACATCTCGGGCAGGCGGTACTCGTACTCTTTGTCCTTGTACGCATATGTCTTGACGGGCCGACCGGTCACGCACGGCCGGTACGGGTTGGCGAGGAGCTTTCCGGGCCCGAGCGGCACGAACGTACCGTCAATGTGCATGGCGTTGCGGTCCTTGAAGTCGAGGACGTGGATCTTGTACTCGTCGCCGAGGTGCCGGCGCATCCACTCGATGCCAAACTCATTCGTGACTTGGCTCCGCTGCGTGAAGAGGTCTTTGCCCATGCGCGTAAACTCGGCCGCATCGAAGGTCGGCTCAAACTCCGTGACGACCGACTAGAGTCACATGAGATGTGTCGGTGTAGGTGGCAGAACGTACGTTGAATTCACCCGAGTTGGGCTGCCAGTCTTCGTTGTAGAGCTCGTCGCTCATCTGCGGCTTGGGCGCGGCCGTCCACTTGGCACCGTTCTATGCGCATAGCGTAAAGCATTCGAACGCATGTAAAGGAGATGATGTCGTACGCGAAAGTACTCCTTGACCAGGCTCCGGAACGGGCGGAACTCAAAGTACCGGGACCGCCACGCCATTGGCGCTTCGATGATTTCGTTGCCGACAACAATCAAGATGTCGCGAGGCATCGCAGCGTAGAGACCGCTCTTGCTCTTGAAGTCGGGCGTCTCAAACGGCTTGCTAAAGTCTTCTGGGTTGAACTCGGGGCGGCGCACGACAACACCCTCGCCTTCCAGAACGTGCGCGAGGTAGTCAAGCTCCTTCGCCGCAGCCTCCATGAGCTCACGTGGGAAGGGCTGTCCAGCCTTGTTCTTGTACATATCCCAGTAGCGCGACGGCCACACGGCCTTGCCCGCGACGTGCCATTCGGGGATTGTCGAGCCCTCGATCTTGCCGACAATGATTTCTTCCAGCGGGTCCCATTCGTTGTGCGAGTTGACGACGCAGGACGTCGCCTTGGTCGACGCATGGCGGACGCGGCGCGAGAGGACGTGGCGGAACAGCGACATCCTGCGGCAGACGCGGCGAAACCGGAAATGGCCTCGCCACAGCGCTGCAGCGACGCCGCGCGATGCCATTGGCGCGTTCGCGGGTTCGAAAAACCACGAGCCAATCGCTGCACACTATTGGCATCATTTTGACCAATCACTTTGAGGTGGATTGCGATCTTTTGGCGTGTCGTTTGGCTGCGGAAGGTTCGAATATCCTGGCGTACAGTACAAGCAAAGAAGCTGGCCGAACCAAGCGAGAAGCAAAGGATCTCGTAACTACAGTCGTGAGAGGGCTACGGTACTATGAGGGCCGTGTTCTTCCTCACAGCACACATGCATGTACCAGCAGTTGCTAAATCGCTAGTTGTCTACGTCGTCGTCGTCGCCAGCCCGCGACGCGAGCGGGCCATGATCGAAGGGCCATAGCAAAAGCAACAACGAGGGTGACAGCGACAGCTACGAGCGGCCTTGTGGTGTATCGTGTATGAGTGGAGCCTGGCGATGTTGAAGTGGTGGGTCGTCCGGATACCATTGCGTATCTTATTGTCTGTCTTATTGTATTGCCGTTTTCCGGACAGTGACCACGATGATGACCGAGGCCGAGCGCACCCGGCTGACCAAGTCGCCGTCGCAGCTGCTGCTCGTGCCCCGCCACGAGCGGGCCAAGCCAATCTTCTACGGCGTCGAGTGCTTCTCGCCGACGCTCATCGACTTTTACTCGGTCGGCGACGACACGCGCCTCCTCTGGAGCTCGCGCGTCCATCGCAAGACGTTTCGCACGCTGCACATGGCGCTGGACCCGACTGCGCCGCGCCACTGGCTGCTTCACTCGTGGAGCTTCTGGTCGGCGCTCCTCTCGGTGCTGGGTGCGGCGCTTTTCTTGTACGCAAGCGCCAACGAGGCGGCGTACCATCCGCATGCGACGACTCAAACCAACTCGAACTTGACGCAGCCGGACTTTCCGCTCTCGCTCGTCCGCGAGACGATCGATTTGCCACTCTTGTTGGGCGCGGCGAGCTTCTTTGCGTCGTACCTTCTTACGTTCCTCGAGGTCATCAACTGCTGCCACGACCTCGACGTACACCAGCAATCATCTGCGAGGACACATGTACTCACATACGTTCTTAGCTTTGGCTCTACGACTATATCCACGGCCTCCCGTCGCGCCGCAAGAAGAAGTGGTTTGGGTACTACCCGTATCGCATCGACTATTGGAGCGCCGTGCTCGGCATTCTGGGCTGGGCCTTTCTTCTGCAAGCGCGCGGCTTTGTCTGCCGGCACGAACTCAACGTGTTTGGCGTCGTGAACCTCACGCGCGGGAACCCCCGCATCTTTTGGGGGTTCTGGGTCCCGAGTCTCGTCGGCTACTTTAGCCTCTTTATGAGTGCTTACCTCATGCACGTCGAGGTCATTCACCGCTGGTTTGTCATTCGACTCGGACTCCTCGACTTTTGGGTCACCGGTAGCATCGTCGTCGCTGACCATAAGCTTAGTACTTCTCGTAGGGCTCGGCTGGCTTGGCATTCTGCTCCTATTCACGTGCTCGTTTACGCAATTCATTGACCCGCTCAACCTCTTTGTCGCGGATGCAACCTCGATGCGGGCGTTCCAAGCCGGCGCGTGGGCCCTTTTTGCGTCCGGCGTCCTCAGCCTCTTTGAAGTCAACACTCTGCACTCGCCGCTGCGCCACCCTGCGTACGGCAAGCTGCGCCGTGCGAACTCCATGGGTCGCTACGGCGCGGTATAACTCTATCAGCGACTAAAATGATGTTCAATTATGCAAAGAGCATGCCAAGGAACATGGCCTTCTTCTGAATCTCTGCGTTGGACGTGTGGTGCGCGGCGATCGTAGCGACGTTGGGCACCAGCGCTTTGGCCACGAGCGTGTTGCCGTCTACGGGGCGTCATGAGCAAACGGCGACCTCGACAGCTCCAGGACGTACGGTGGTTGGCGCAAAAGACCACGAGCGCCCAGAAACCCTCGGCGACAACAGCGTCGTTGGTCATGTGGCGGTTGAGAGCCTCGGCGACGGCCGCGATCGCGCCCTGACTCTGCACAAGGTTCAAATTGGACTCTAGCGGAGAGTCGTCAGGCGCGAGATGGAATGGCAAGAAAGCCGTGTACCACACTGAAAGGCGATGTTGCGCAAGACGCGGCAGCCGTCTTCTTGCATCGATCCGTTGTCGATCGAGCGCTTCAAGGCCTCAACAATGGCGGAGATCACACCGAGCTTGCCGGCCTCGACCTTGTGGAGTGCTACGAAGTTACGTTATGACGTGCATGCCGCGCGCGGCGCGTACGCTGGTTGAAGGTAATCTGGCCCATCTTGCTGAGGCCGTCGGCCGACAGGAGCGGCGACTGACTCTGAATCATCGCCAGCGCTTCGGCAATCACGGCAGCCATCGCTCTTGGTCGTTGACGCAAATGCAAAATTGTGCCATCCGGATGCGCGCCGCGCATTTGACCTGGCGCATCCGGATAACCGTGTTGAAGTTGGTGGCTCTGTGCGTGGTCGTCCAGAAGATTGCTCGCAAGATGCGTCCAATGGTACACCCTTGGGAATGCGGGGAACGCGGAGCTAGCAGAAGTCATAGGCGCCTTCGAACTGCAGTCTGCCTCGTCGAGTACCCCAGTGTGGGCCACACATTAGCGCTGACGGGTGCTGTCCAATCCGGGCCCGACACGTCAAAGCACCGCTGAGAGCTGCCGCCGAGACGGCCACCAGTAGAGTGCTTCGTTGAGATGAGCTTTCATTCAGAGACGCTCGGAGCTACTTGGTTCACTCTGCACGCGGTATTTGCGAGTCCTTTTGCGCTCAGCCTGGCAGCGCCGGCGGTGCAAAGCCAGCGCAAGGGGCGTGCTGGCTTATCTGGCTCGTGGAATCGATTGGGTATTGTAAAGATGTCGGCTTTGTCTCCTCCACGACTCGGAATTCACTCGCCTTTGCGATGCGCCTGCAGTGGCGCTCGACAATGGAAGAGAGCATTCTGCGCGCTGGTGCCGCCAGCACATTCTATTAACTGCCAGAGGTTGGTGATTATATGTATTTGGAGAGTATTGAAAGAACATGCCATATCTAATATTATCGATTTATAGAGTGGCTGCTGCCGGGAGCACCACACGAACCGATTTTTGGACGGCGACCGATGGACCTCTTCGTGCGTGGTCTTGGCCCGAAGGAACTGCATGTCGTGGCGCAGGCAACCGACTCGATTGCGGCCGTGAAGGCGCATGTGAGCGGCCTCATGGGCGTGCCCGCGGCGCTCTTTAAGCTCTCGTTCAACGCGCGGCTGCTCGTCGAGACCAACTTTGTCCACGACTACTGCATCACACACGGCTCGACGCTCGCCGCCTCCATGGCACTGAAGGGCGGTATGGATTTCCAGAACCGCGTCGGCTCCAAGCCCGGCTCGGGCGGCGTGGCCTCGGAGCAACAGGCCAACATTGACCGGCGTGAGCGGCTGCGAAAGCTTGCGCTCGAGACGGTCGATCTCTCGAAGGACCCGTACATTCTGAAGAACCACTTGGGCACGTTCGAGTGTAAATTGTGCTTGACGCTGCACAGCAACGAAGGAAACTACCTTGCCCATACACAGGGCAAGCGCCATCAGACCAACTTGGCGCGCCGAGCGGCCAAGGATGCTGCAGAAGCGTCGGCCAACGTGCAAGCGCCGCCCAAGCCCGAGATCCAGCGCATCCGAACCATCAAGATCGGTCTGCCCGGCTACAAAGTGACAAAGCAGCGGGACCCGGACACAGGCGCGCGCATGCTCCTCTTCCAGATCTTTTACCCGGACGTCATGGACGGGCTCCAGCCGCGCCACCGCTTCATGTCGGCCTTTGAGCAGCGTGTCGAGGTCGCGGACAAGAACTTCCAGTACCTCCTCTTTGCGTGCGAGCCATACGAGACGATCGCGTTCAAGGTGCCCAACCTCGACGTCGACAAGTCGGAGGGCAAGTTCTTCACCAATTGGGACAAGCTCGGCAAGTCGTTCACCCTGCACGTGACGTTCATGCCGGAGGCGCCGGCGTCGAACGAGCCGCCCGCGCCGCCCATGCTTCGCACAGCATAAACCTCTAATACCACCACCCTTCTGTTCGTATGCACCTTGAATCGACGAGCCGCAAGGTCTTCTGCGTAGCTAAGCATCATGAGGACCCGCACAAAGTGGCTGCGGGAGCAACCCACGCACGCTACGGCGGCAAGCTCCGTACCAGGGACATCACCGTGACAGTCCTTTGCGGAGTACGGTACGTACGGCGTGAAGGAGAAGGCGTGCGCATCGTCGATCCTCTGGCGTCTGCGTCACGACCCGAGATCGCTGGCGACGGTCGCTGTTGACACAATCATCAGAAATCGGCCTCGCGCGGTGCCACGTAGTGTATTTTATGACGGAAGGTTTGTATGGGAATTGAATTGTCGAATAAAAAACTTTCAGGCTGTTGCACAAACAAGGATGTGGCCATCCGGATGCGGCGTTCGTGGCCCAGATCCCAAAAGATACCGAGCTGAGCAAGATGGCCGTAGTCGTGACGTGTGGTGCGCCGTCGGCCGCCGAGGCCGCGCAGGCCCTCGAGCTCCTCAAGACGCTGCAGCAAGGCGGCATGCGCATCACGGTGCTTTCGTCCTCGGCATGGCGCGCCCAAGTCGTGCAGGCCAAGATCCCGCATGTGCACATTGCGACGCCGCACGAGGCGCAGGACCTTCTCGCCGCGCCCATCAGCCTTGTGCTTGCGTTCGTGCCGCAGACGAACGACGAGGCCGCGCTCAAGGCGTGGGGCCTTGGCTGCCACGCCTTTGTCCGCTCGGCGGCCTGGGCGTACGAGACGATCGCCGTTGTCACGTCGCCAAGCGACTATGCTGTCGTGGCCAGCAAGGTCTCGCAAGGTGGTGCGCTGGCCTACTCGCTCAACGAGCGCAAAGCGCTTGCCCAGAAGGCATTCCGCGCCTTCTCCGCTGTCGATGCCCGCGCGGTCGAGCTCCTCCAGCCCGAAGTCAAGCAGCACTCGATCTTGCTCGTCGGCAGCGGTGGCCGCGAACACGCGCTCGCGTGGAAACTCGCGCAGTCGCCGCAAGCCAAGCACGTGTACGTCGCGCCGGGCAATGGCGGTACGAACGGCGACAAGATCTCGTCGGTCGCGATCGCGCAGGAAGACCACGAGGCGCTCATTGTATTTTGCCGCGAAAAGAACGTGACGCTGTGCGTCGTCGGGCCCGAGGCGCCGCTCGTCGACGGCCTCGCCGACAAGTTCAACGCAGCTGGCATCCCGACGTTCGGCCCGAGCGCGAAGGCGGCCCAGCTCGAGGGCTCCAAGGCGTTCTCGAAGGACTTTATGGCGCGCCACAACATTCCGACCGCGACCTTCCGCAACTTTACCTCGTACAACGAGGCCAAGGCGTATATCGACAGCATCGACTACCGCGTCGTCATCAAGGCGTCGGGCATTGCCGCCGGCAAAGGCGTGCTCATCCCGACGACGAAGGAAGAGACGCACGCCGCGCTGCGCGAGGTCATGGTCGACCGCGCGTTCGGGTCGGCGGGCGACGAGGTCGTCATCGAGGAGTTTATGACGGGCGAAGAGGTCTCGCTCCTCGCCTTTAGCGACGGCCATACCGTCGTGACGATGCCGGGCGCGCAGGACCACAAGCGTATCTTTGACAACGACCAGGGCCCCAACACGGGCGGCATGGGTGTCTACGCGCCGGCGCCGTGCTTCCACGGCGCCGCCAAGCGCGAGTGCATTGCGATCGTCGAACAGTCGATTGCGGCCATGGCCGCCGAGGGCAACCCGTTCGTCGGCTGCCTCTTCACGGGCTTCATGCTCACGCCCAAGGGCCCGAAGATCGTCGAGTACAACGCGCGCTTTGGCGACCCCGAGACCGAAGTCGTGCTCCCGCTTCTGAACAGCGATCTCGTCGAGATCTTCCTCGCGTGTTGCCACGGCAAGCTCGACCCGGCCATGGTGCTCTGGAAGGACGCGTCGGCAGCGACCGTCGTCATGGCGTCGCAGGGCTACCCGGACAGCTACCCGAAGGGCAAGGTCATCGCAGGCGTCGCTGCAGCCAACGCGCTCCCCAACACCAACGTCTTCCATGCCGGCACGGCGCTCAAGGACGGGGCGCTCGTGACCTCGGGCGGCCGCGTGCTCACTGTGACGGCGGTTGCGCCGACGATGAAGGACGCGATCGCGCAGGCGTACGTCGGCGTCTCCAAGATTGCGTTCGAGGGCCACCAGTTCCGGTCCGACATTGGCCACAAAGGGCTCTTGCACTCGTGCCCGCCCATCAAGCTCGGCGTGCTCGGGTCGACGCGCGGCTCGTCACTGCAACCGATTTTGGACGCGATCGCGGCCGGCGACCTCAATGCGTCGGTCGAGATCATTGTGAGCAACAAGGCGGCGGCCGGCATCCTCGAGCGCGCAAAGACTCACAAGATTCCTGGCATCGCTGTCGGCAGCAAGGGCAAGACCCGCGACGCGTTCGACGCCGAAGTGACGTCGCTTCTTGATAGCAAAAAGGTCGACTTGGTCCTCTGCATCGGCTACATGCGTATCCTCTCGGCGTCGTTCTGCGAGCGCTGGGCGAACCGCGTCTTGAACGTCCACCCGTCGCTGCTGCCCGATTTCGCCGGCGGCATGGACCTCGCCGTGCACCAAGCCGTGCTCGATGCAAAGAAGACAAGCTCGGGCTGCACGGTCCACTATGTGACGCCCGAGGTCGACGCCGGCCCGATCGCGGTCCAGCTCAAGTGCCCGGTGCTGTCGACCGACACGGCCGAGACGCTCAAGGCGCGTGTGCAGCCGCTCGAAGGCGACGCGTTTTTCTTTGCGATCAAGCGCCAGCAGGTCGCCATGTACATGGGCACGCTCGGTACGCCGACGCGCCTCACGTACGCTGACGCCGGCGTCAGCATCGACGCAGGCAACGCGCTTGTGCAAGCGATCAAGCCGCTCTGCAAGTCGACGGTCCGGCCCGGGTGCGACGCCGACCTCGGCGGCTTTGGCGGCCTCTTTGACCTCCAAGCCGCGGGCTACGGCGCCGACACGGTCCTTGTTGCGTGCACAGACGGCGTCGGCACCAAGCTCAAGATCGCCCACGCGATGAACAAGCACGACACGATCGGCATCGACCTCGTCGCCATGTGCGTCAACGACCTCCTCGTCCAGGGCGCTGAGCCGCTTCTCTTCCTCGACTACTTTGCCACCGGCGCGCTCGATGTGCATGCGGCGACCGAAGTCGTCAAGGGCATCGCCGAGGGCTGCCGCCAGTCCAAGTGCGGGCTCATTGGGGGCGAGACGGCCGAGATGCCGTCCATGTACGCGCCTGGCGAGTACGACGTGGCGGGCTTTTGCGTCGGCGCCGCCCACAAGAAGTCGCTCCTGCCGCTGCCGGCGCGGGTCGGCGATGTTGTCCTCGGCCTTGCGAGCGCCGGTGTTCACTCGAACGGCTTCTCGCTCGTGCGCAAGGTCGTCGACCGCGCGGGTCTCAACTACGCGAGTCCGTGTCCGTATGACGCGGCCAAGACGCTCGGTGACGCGCTCTTGACGCCGACGCGCATCTACGTCTCGCTGCTGTCGCCGTTGCTGCAGAAGGGCTACATCCGTGCGCTGGCCCACATCACGGGCGGCGGTCTCCTTGAGAACATTCCGCGCGTGCTCTCGGACGACCTCGCGGTGGAGCTGGCGGCGTCGAGCTGGCGCCTTCCGCCCGTCTTCAAGTGGCTCCAGTCGGCCGGCCATATCTCGGATGCGGAGCTGACCCGGACGTTCAACTGCGGCATTGGCATGGTGCTGATCGTGGCGCCCGAGCACGAGGCGCAGGTCAAGGCCGCGCTGAGCCCCGAGGCCGTCCTGAGCTTGGGCCGCGTCACGTCGCGCAGCGGGTCGCAGGTCGTCATCCACGGCGCTCTGCAGTAACTAATGTACTTGAATCCTTTTGTATTGTATCTTTAGTCGGTTAAAATCGACTTGCGCGCAAGAGGCGGAGGGTCGTGATCGGGCCAAAGATGGACTCGAGCCCGAGGAAGACGAGGCCAATCGCGTTCAGAATGACGTCGAGCTGCAGCCTACGCCGGCGCTCAGACATGGCGCAGTGAGCAGGCGTACACGTAGGTCTGCAGGCTGATGTAATACGCGAGCGAGATGACGCAGGGCAGCGTCAAGAGACAGGCCGTCACGAGCGGGAAGACTTGCTCCGTCTTGTTGCCCTTGGACGCTACGCAGCTCCATCAATGTCGTCCACGAGAGCCGCGGACCCTGGAAGATGCGAGTGCGATCGATGATGTAGTAGAGGCAGAGGAAGACAACTTCCCAAGTGTAGGCGCCCGTCGGCGGGTACGGGAGGTACATGCCTGTGGTCGACGTCGTCGCCAGCTGCCTCGTCTCGAGCTTTACCTTTGTAGATGAAGATGGCGCCGGTCAAGAGCACGTACAGCAGCGTGAACCATCGGTTGAAGAAGAGGAGGACCTCCATGGGCAGCGACGAGAGCTACACCACTGAATGCACGCCGGTCGAATCGCAGTCGGGCCTACGATCTCGGACGAGGCGGTCATCGCTTGCGTAACGTTCACTGCGCGGTTTCGCCGACCGGGAAGAATGGAGTATGGGCGGCCACCCCGCCGGACGACGCAGCCCTTTGCCGTCGACTTCTTGTACCCGGCGTCGGCGTACGCTTCGGGCTTGCGTCGTCCTTGCTCACGCTACGTCCGTAGAAAACCCAAGGACGACCGCGACGAAGATGCTGCCCGCAAGACCAAGCCCCGGTACGAGGGCCTCTCTGGCTGCGCTGCCACCGCCAACGCGCGTGTAGGCCACACACGAGCGTGCGACGCTCTATGCAAGAGCCGCGACAGCGACCTGCGGATGTCTCTCTGACGCCTAGCCTTCGTTCCAACAACCACGAGGACGAGACGGCGCCTGTCGCGCGGCTCAAGCCCCGCCCGAGCACAGCAGCCGCGTCGATCCCGCGACTTGAGAGCGAGAGTCGCCCGCAACGGACCGAGACCCTGAGCGCGTACCTGCAGCAGCTGCAAGCCGACATTCGCTGCGTGTACCAGCTGCTCGGTAACCCGGACGCGCTCTCGAGCGGGCATGCGCATCTGCTCTTGAAGCGCCGGGACCACCTCGCGGTGCCCGACGACGTGGCCGCCAAGCTCGCGCGGTGCGACGGCCTCGACGAGAGTACAAAGCACGCGCTGGAGACGATGCTCTCGGACGGCCTCCTCCTCGTCATGAACAGCTCGCTCCTCGACGCTGACGCCAAAGGCCGAGGAGCGGTGGAGACGCATCATCCGAGCGCGTCGACGCCAGCGACCCTCTACTTTGAGAGCTTCCTCGCTTTTGCGCGCCGGGTCCAGGTACCCCAACAGGTCCCAAGAGTTGCGTGGGTTTAGCCTGCGCTAGGCGCTCAAGACAAAAGCCCTCGCAGACGACGCCGAGAAGCACGTGCTCCTGACGACGTTGCGCGCCAAAGACGCAACCATTGCGACCCTCGAGCACGAAATCGTGCTCTTCAAAGACACCCTTGCCACGGTGCCACCTCAATCTCAAATCTCAATTTCTCAATTCCTCAATTTCATAGGTCGCAAAGGAGAAGGATGCGTCGGGTGCTGGCTGGGCAGTCTTGCAAGAGGCGTTCAAGCGTGGCGCCCAGCGCAGCGCCGACGAGGCGGCCAAGCTCGACGCCCTTCAATCCGCCTACGATAGTCTCGTGGCGGCCCACGAAGCGCTCCAAGCGGACAAGACCACCTTGCGCAAGGACCTCGACGCGTTGAAAACAGCGCACGCCGACGTCGTCGCGCGGCTGAACGACCAGGTGCCACTCTCGCCCATAGGTAGAGGGACGCATCTGTGCATTCTTAGCTTGTGGCGGCCAACGAACGAGCAAGCCGTGCAGAGACATCTCTCCACGCCCTCGAGCAGACACAAGCGGAGCTGCGGAGAAAGCTGGAGTGCGCAATGGGCGAGGAAGAGACTACTCGCACAGCTAGCCAAGCGCAACTTTCGTCGCTCAAAGCCGAGCTGGCGCAAGCGAAGAAGGCGGCGCGGACGCTCACCGCGCAGATCGAAGCCAACGCGGCTACTGCTGCCACACAACGCGCGGCCGCCGTCGCCCAAGCAACGTCCAACCTCCAAAAAGCCCAAGCGACCCGCCTCGACGACGTGCGCGCCGAGTGGTCGGCCGAGTGCTCGGCCATCCAGGCCCTTCACGCCCGAGAGCTGCGTACGCTGGAGGCAGCGCACGCCAAGAACATTGATGCGATGGCCGTGCGGCACCGCGAGATGGAAGCCCAGCTCGCAGCCGCGGCCAAGCAAGCAGCTCTGGTCCACGACGAGGCGCTGGCCACGTGGCGGCAAAAGCACGAGCGCCAGGCTCACGAAGCCAACGCGCTCCAACATCAGCTTGAGGCGATGCGGCGCGAGCTCGTGGCGCTGCAAGTGTCGACGTCCGAGAGCACCGTGAGGGCCCACGTGCACCACGAAGTCGAAGGCGTCTACTTGGCCAAAGTCGCAGCCTTAGAGGCCGCTCTCGCTCAAGCCATGGCCGCGTGCCAGGCCGCGCAAGACCAAGGCGACCTCGCGCTCGCCCACGAGAAGGAGCTGCACGCCCACGCGTTGGCGAATGCAAAAGCGGTGTCGGACGAGCTCGAGACAGCCAACTTGTGCTTGGCCGAGCGCAAGCGGCAGCGCGACGCCGACCAGCTCGCGTTTGAGGAGCGGGAGGCGCGCGCAGCACGCAACATTGCGCAATTGACGCAGGAAGTCACGTTGCTGCGCAGCCACGTCGACGACAAGGCGCACGCGGTGTGGAAGCAGCGGCTCGCCGAGGCGGACGCGACGGCCGCGCAGTGGCGCACCAAGTACGAGGACGCGGCGAAAGCACTGCAGGTTGCGCAGGCGAGCGCTGAAATCACCAGCTTCCACAAGCGCGAGATGGACGGCGCGATGCGCGAGCGAGACGAGGCGCTGGACCACCTCGTGCGCGTCTCCAAAGAGCGCGACGGTGCAGGAGCGACGGTCGTGACCCTTCGGAACCAAATCGACACGCTCACCACGGCGCTGCACGAAGCCCGCACGACGGCCCACCGACTGCGGTCCGAGCTCTCGGGCCTGTACGTCACACCATACGCTTTCCGGATACAAGCGCATGTATACGTAGGGAGCACTTGCTGACGCAGGAGAAGCGAGCACACGACCAGCAGCAGCGCGACCTCGATGTCGAGACGCAGCGCATCATGGAGGACAAGCAGCTTTTGAAGCAAGTGGTCGCAGCCATGACCGAGCGCTTGGCCCTGGGCGTGCGCGCGGAAGACGCGACCAAGTGGGCAGGCGTGGTTGACGCGTGCGCGGCCGTCGACTGGCAGCTTCGGCACATGAAGGACCGCCTCGAGGAGCTTGCAGGCGTCAAGCCGCGGCGACCGACGACCCCGTTCTCAGATGCGATCGCGGCGGGGCAGAGAACTGCGCCGGTCGTCCAGCAGCTGCAGACGGCTGTGCCCGATACGGACACGTACGCCATGGCGCTAACACGGGAGATGCAAGCGATGAAGGCTACGTACGAAGCGCGGATCCGGGACCTGCAAGACGAGCTCAAGGCGGTTCGGACCGACCGCGCCCGAAACGAGCTCCAAGAAGAGAAAGCGCGCTACGTTGCCGCTGTAGGTTTCTGAATGGCCCATGGAAGCTCACGCCCATGTCTAGATGGTCCAGTGGACCGACAAGAATGCAGCGCTGGAAGCCAAAGCCGACGAGTTGGAGCGCCGGTTGCAGCTAGGACGGCGATAGAACATGGGCGTGCTCCTTTCATACTGCACCTCCGCCCACTGCAGAGTTGGGACTGTAGCAGGCAGAGAGAAGCGAGTATCATGAATGTAAAGTTGGTTGGCGTACAAAATGGTGCTACGAGATCGACGCTATAGCTCCATGTCGGGCTGCATATGGTCGTGGTATGCGTGCGAAGTGACGTCCATCTCGTCGTCGACCTCCATTGCGTGGTCGCCGGTGTCCATGCGCAGGTCCTTGGCGTGCTCGTCGGCGACGGACAAGAGGACCCAGACTGGGTCGCCGAACGCGAGGCCGTCGCTCATGAGCCGCCACGTGCCATAGTGCGTACCGCTCTCGCCTGGCAGAGTCGTCACCATGTCGATCTGCGTGTGCTCGCCGACCGGAATCGCGCCAATGTGCACGTCGTTGCCAGCGCCAAAGGGGACGCCTTGGTAAAAGGCCAGGCGCGTGTTAGCCGGCCATGCGACCGGGCCATGGTTCTGGAATATGAGGTGCAGCGTGATCTGCTGGTGCGGCAGGAAGACCGCGTTCTGGGCGGCGCTGAGGTCGCTCAAGAACTTGGCGTCGGGCAGCACGGGCAGCTCGTCTTCGATCGGCGCCGGCGTCGTCGCCAGGTACATGTTGACCGCCGTCTCCACGTTCCAGTTGGAGGACTCGAGGAAGAAGGCGCTCGTCTTGGGCTCCAGCGCGAGCAGCTTCCCGAACTGCGCGATGAGCGCGTCGTGGTCCGTCGTCGTGATGCTCTGGAACATGCGCAGGAGGTCGTCGCAGTCGCTCATCGTCGTCAAAATCCAAATATTTGGAAACCTGGTCTCGCTTTCCGGACGTCCGGATAATGAAAGATTTCGCCGTTTCTGACGTGGCAGCCTCCTGGACCGAGCCTACGTCGGGCGTCGAAGGCCCGGTTGATGCTCCGTGCCAAGGAAGCGTTCATCGCGACGGACCTTGCTGGCAATTGGGCTCGAGCAGCGACCAAGAACAGCGTCGCTCGAGCGTTTTGACGCATCCTCTGTCTTCTGCGACACGGCGTGGACTATCAAGTAGGATACGGCAACTATCAAGGTCGCCTCCCACGAGCCCGTTGGCCTTCTTTTAAAGGCTCCCACATATGAAGCAACCAAATAGGGCAAATCGCACGTCCGCAAGCACAGCCCACGCTGTTTTTGGTACGAAATTAAGCCCAGAAATGCAGCGACAACGCTCTATGTACGTCAACTGGAATTGTACATATGTCATTCGTTATTACCTAAAGCGACTACCTTTCTTAAACCAGGAGGATAGGAGGGTAGGAGCAATGCGTCGACTTGCTCAGAATCCGACGAGCGAGAAGAGCGCCACGAACGTCACGAGAAACGTGAGCCCGAGAAAGACCGTCGAAAAGGCGAGCGAGCTCAGGACCGGGACGCTAAACGGCGTCTTCTCCGCCTCAATATTGCGGAACGTCGAGCGAAAGTGCTTGATGCCTGCGACTTGGAGCCACGCGGGGATGATGAGGCCGAGGCCAAAGCCCAAAAATCCTGCGTACGTGAAAATTGCGTCAAGCTTCTTGAAGATCGTGGCAAAAAGCAGCGGCGGGATCACGGCCGCGAGGCGCGAGAGGTCGCGGGCGCCGGCGGGCCCAAGCGGTGCGGTGATCGACTTGGGCAGCGACGTGAGTATGTTGCCGCCAACCGTGTGTCCGATCATGGGGAAGGACGACGTGACGTTCACGACGGGAAACATGACAACCATGAGGTGCACGAGCGACCCAAAGAGCGTCGGCTGCCCGGACGGACACGTCGACCAGCCGTTGCCGCAGCCGGAAAAGGAGCTCCACATCAAGCTCGCGAGCGGGTTGACTTCGTCAAAGGCGAGCGCACCGAGGAGCCCGAGGAAGAAGTAGCAGAACGCCGCCATCGTCATCGAGACGTATGTGATGCGCCGCGCATGGCCCTTGTGCGAAAGCTCGAGCGGCTGCAGCGCGGACGGCATGTTGTATTGGCAGTTGAGCGCGAGCAAGGTCGGGCCAAAGCCAGCGCCAAAGCTCTGCCAGTTGAATGCCCAGTGCGCGCGCGCGGCGAGGCGCGTCGAAATGGCGTCGGCGCCGTCGACGCTGAGCTTGAACGCGATCGTCGAGAGCATGATGCCAAAGGCGAGGAGCCGGTAGCCCGAGAGGACCTTTTGGATGCTCGCTTGGTCGCCGAGGTCCATGAGCACGAGCACGATCGACATGACGGCGAAGAGCGCCATGAAGGCGTAGTAGCTCTCGAGGCAGCCGCTCGACGCGTTCGCAGCGTACACGTCGCAGACGTTGCCGAGCACGAACGTTTGAAAGACGGATGCGACCGACGACGCAAAGATGCTCGCGTACGCCCAGAGCGTCCCCATGCAGTAGAAAATGAGCACGGTCTGCACGACTATGTACCCTGCCTTGCCGGCGAAGAGCTCGCTCATGGTCGAGAACTCGGTCTTGCGGTACGTGAGGCGGTTCACCGGCGGGTCCTCGCTCGAGAGCACGCCTTCCGAGCGGGCCATGGCCTCGAGCGTGTAGTTCATCGTGAGGAGCGCTCCGAGAAAGCCAACGATGAGAAAGATGGACGTGAGCCCAATGCCAGCAACCGAGAAGGCGAACGGCAGACCAAAGCAGCCAGTGCCGACCATAAAGTTGAGCGTCAAGGCGACCGCGACAACAGAGCCAAAGGTCTTGACGCCCATGGCCGACGCATCCGTCGGGTCGAGCGACGGGTAGTGCTGTCCTTTCGCGAGCGGAGCTTCCATGCTGGTGTCACTGCAAAAATGGACGATCCAAGATGTGGCGATCTTGCGGTACCCGATTAAGTGCGAGTGGTTTGCCATCGACAGCAGCACAGAAGAGCGAGAAGCGTGGGCCAGCACAAAGAAGAGAGAGCATACCTGGCTGAACCTAGCTAAGGAACGCTCGCCATTGTAATGCTAGTAGTACGCATTGGTAGAACAGGTCTTGGCTGGGACAAAGGCACGCCTCGAGACTCGCCAAGAGCTCCCACGGAGCGAATACTTGAGCGCGACAAGGCGCAGTGAGCTCATACCTACGCCAGCATGCGGGCGAGAAGAAGGCGCGACGTTGGCGGTCGCATCGAAGCCGCGCGGGCGGCGACGGAGTGACCGCACTACCGCTATCCGGCTTCGAGAAAGGGCGCCGAGTTCTTCCGGCGTGTGACGATTCCGCTCACCCCGTCCCAGAGCATTTGATGTGGACTAGCACTGAGACCACAAGCAGACAAGTTGTCCGTAGTAGTCTTATTAAATGGACAACTGGAACGAATCCAACGCGTCCAGAATATCGTCGTCGTCGAATGTGACCGCGGCGTCGTCATCGTCGAAGTCGAAGAACGTCGCGTCCGGGTCCACCGCTTGCGTATTGGACGGCTCCGGCTCTGCTGTGTCTGTCGGCAAATCGACGCCTGGACTCGACACCACGAAAGTCTTGTCCGCGTTGCCGTTTACCTCGGGGAGCGTGGGACTCGCCGCGTCGGGCTGGCTACTAATACCGCAGCGCGTGACGTTGTGGTCCATATGGGAAACTACGTCGCCGCCATCTGTGGTGGTACTAGGCAACGTCGGAACGTCAAGTACGACGCAAGGACCAGGAACTTCCATCGGCTCGCTTTGCTGCGACGCCGATATGACGTGGCAGCTTGTATCGATTGCAGTAGCGTCGGCGGTGGGGACCCGTGCTTGAACCGCAGCCCGTGTCTCTACGCGCCGCACGGGCACCGGCGCCTCGTCAACCGGCGACCTCGGTCGGTGCCACTGGACTCGGATCTTTGGGTCGACCGCCTCGCGCTGCGGCTTGTACGCCTGGATGGCTTTGACCCGCGCGACACTGGCTTGGGTGCCGCTCATGAGCGTACTATGTCGCCCGGTGGACTGACGGCGTTGGGCTTGGCGGGGCACCGGGGCCGGTTGCGGCGCCACGCTTCGGGTCGCTTTGGGCGACCCGTACCGCTTGTGCTCGTACTTGGCACTGATCGCACGCTCGGTCGCGAGCGCTTTGGCTCGTCCGCACAAGTAAATCTCGTTCATCGCGCGCGTCGGGCTCCGCGGCGGCGCATTGTCGTCGTACGGATCGTAGAGCCAAATGTCTTTGCGCACCTGCGGCTTCTTGACCGGGATTCTAGGCATAAATAACTCGTCTAGCGCAACTCATTTCAGAGTCTCGTACGCGGCGTGGAGAAGCGATAGCAGGGCGTCGAGACCAGCAGGCGGGGTCGCGTGCACTTCGGCGTACAGGGCAAACTCACTCGAGGCGAAGATGCGCGCTTCGGACGCGACGAGCACCGCGTCGTGATCGGTCGGCATCAAGTCGGCGTTCGTGCCCACGAGCGCGATCGTGCGGTCAAGCGACTGGAGCGCCGCGCCCTGTCGCGTGTCAGACCATGACGAGGTGACGCACGGACCTTGGCGACGACGGCAGCAAACGTCTCGGGCGCCGTCACATCAAACACCAAAAACACAAGACGCGTGTCCAGGAGAGCGCTTTCGACGTCATCAAGACACCGCTCGAGCGCTGTGACACCTTTGCCCAACGCAAACAGCGATGAGGTCGGCGACGATACACAGGTGACGTCGCCGCCGAGACCGCGCCCGAGCGCGTAGATGAGCGACGTCTTGCCAGTCCTTGGCGCGCCCAGCACCGCGACCGTCGGCCGCTCCATGTGCTTCACCGTCGGTTTTGACCCAAATATGACGTCGCGCTCAAATTAGCGTCTTTAGCCCAAGTGTAAATTATCAAACCATTGCTGGATCGCGCCTGGTGGACGGCGTGGCCGCTCGGCTCGTGCACCACCGCCGATTCGCTGTGCGCCACGAGCCTGCGGAACAGCGCGCTGCGGTCGAGCGGCCGCCAACCAGCGCGCCTCGTGCCAATGCGGACAGCCACACGTCTTCCAGCGGCCGGCGCAAACGTAGCAAAACTCGGTGCGGCAAATGCACGTCATGTGGTTGCAGCCGTCGACGAGTTCGACCATGCGGCGACAATGTGGGCAGCGCTGCCAGCCCTCCCGGGCGCCGAGTGCGTTCAAGGAGGCGTCGGCCTCGGCGTCGCACGTCCCTTCGTGCATGCGGCGCGAGCATAAGACGCAGATGCGGCGACGACAGCCTGGGCACACGACCGAGCTCCCGGTGCCCACAAGGTACCGCGCGCTCACAAACGTGATCGCGCACGCCGTGTTGGGGCAGTAGACCGGTCGATCCGCCGTCGCTTCTTCCGTGCGGTCGCGCAGCCGCTGCATCGCGTCTTGGCACAAGGCCTGAGTGCGCGCGATGGCGTCGAGGTCCCATGGCTGCTGGCAGCATGCAAGCGGGAGGCGCGTTACGTCGTCCGTGGCTGAGAGAAGGAGCGCTCTCAAGCACGGCAAGCAGTGCTCGTGCTGGCACGGCGCCGTGAACGCCGAGGGCTGGACGTGGAGACACACGCAACAGGCGACGCCGACATCGAGGCGAGCTTGCAGCAACGTGCGAACGGATGTCAAGCGATGAGCAAATGCAGCCGCCTCGTCGTGCACCGCACCATCATGAACACCAGCCCCGAGATCGCTGGCGACCATCCCGTCGACGGTCCGCAAGAGCTCACCGAGTTGCGTGACGTGCTGTGTGATCGTCGCCATTTCGGCATCACTTGCCGGCGCGACAGCCTCGACGCCCACGTCCGTGGCGTCGACCAGCGCCAAGTCAATGACCACAGAGAGTGTTGCCCAGTCCATGATGACACGCCGTTGGCGACTGAGTCCAAGGACGTTGGTTAGCAGAGAAAAATGGTCTTGGTCGTCAAACATCACCAACGTCAGTAGTGTTGACACAGTCTTCCCGCGTCTCGTTAACAAAAAATGGTTTTGCATACTTTCCACTAGCTTCATTGAAGAGATAGTTAGCTATCTCAACTGACCGACCGGCGTCCTTGAAAAGGAGTTTAATGGCTGGGCCATCTCCATCTTGCAATTTACAATTTGGCGAGGTCGCCGCGGTAGCGCAGTTGAACGGTCGTATCGTGCTACAAGCGGCGGCCGCGACAGGTTCGACACGCCTGGAATTGGCAGTGACGACACTGTAGCGTGTACAGATAGACGAGGCGACTGCAGAGTTCACAGCGGCGCGACCGCTCGGGAAAATCGATGCGGCGCCACCGCCCTTCGTGATTGCACTCGTCGCGGTCTCGCAACTGCACGGCCAATTGCCGCACGGCGCGGGCGGGTGCCCCGGCGCCCAGTCGCTCTTGCGCCGCGAGCAAGACGCGAGCCTCGTCCCAGTTGGCGCATGCGCACGTCTTCCAGCGGCTGGCGCAAACGTAGCAAAACTCGGCGCTGCAGAGGCACGTCATGTGGTTGCAGCCCTGGGTCAGCTCCACCATGCGGCGGCAGTGCGGGCAGCGCTGCCAGCCTTCCTGGGCGCCGAGCTCGAGCAATGCTTCTTCCGAGACGGTGTCTTCGCACGCTCCAGGGTGTGCCGGGCGCGAGCAGGCAGAGCAGAGGCCGGTGCGGCAGCCAGGACAAATGGCGGTGGTGCCATTGACGTAGCGAGCGCTAACAAACTCGGTGGTGCACGCAGGGTTGCCGCAGTACACGGGACGCGCGGCTGTTTTTTCTTCGGCGCGATCTCGGAGCCGCTGGGCGTCCGTGGCAGAAAGGACCCCCGTGCGCAGCACTGCGTCAAGGTCCAAGCGCTGGCGACAACATTTGAGCGGAAGCAGCGAAACGTCGTGCGTGGCGGTCTGGAGGAACGCCGCCAAGCACGATGCGCAGTACTCATGGCGGCACGGTGCCGTAAAGACGGACGGCGCTTGCTGGTGGCAGACGCAGCAGAGCGCTGTGACCTGGATGCTTGCCTCCAGTACGGCGCTGGCCGTCACGAGAGCCACAACAACGTCGGTGGCTCGGCGCACCATGTCGCCACCGTCGTCCAGCGCGAGCGCGCGTGCAATCTCGGCGTCGAGCGTCGAAGCGATGGCAACGAGGCGCACAGCGTGGCCTGCAGCGATCGCCATCTCGACATCCGAGCTTGGCGTCGCCGAGTCGACGCCAAAGGCGTGGGCGTCAGTGAGGTAGAGATCAGCGACCGAGAGCAGCGCCGCCCAGTCATCGTTATTCATGGTGCCAACAGCAAATGCTGCTGGCCAAGGCCGTCAACGGGCGCATTGGGCTGGGACAAGACCTGAGTGATCGATCGGTGCCAGCGGTGAAGAGCAAGGCGCGTCTGGGACAGGGAAAAAACGCGTGCACGTTAGTGTAGTTTGTGTCATAACGTTTCAAGTCGTCGGTTGTGCAAGTGCCATTCGCGTAATTATAACTTTGTCGATTGCGGCTTCAAGTCCGGAAACCCCCGATCGCAGCAACAGTTTCGCCGACACGATGATCCCGGGCACCATGATGCGCCGGGGGTCGTCGAACTCGCCTCGGCGGTCGCCCAGCAGAGGCCAGCGCGACTCGTCGAGCAAGGGCCGCCACGAAGGCCCGAGCAAGGGCCGCCACGACGACGTCCCGTTCCGCCAGGCGACGACCGCGATCTCGTCGCGCCGGGTGCCGCCGATGCTCTCGCGGGCCAATTTGCGGCTGCCGCTCACCAACCAGTCGGCGCGGTCGCTCGAGAAGGGCCGGCTGTCATCCCGCACGCGGTCGGACAAGGCGAGCAAGCTCCTCGGCGCCGACAAGCCCACGGGCAGTATGGAGACGCATCGGAAGCGACACAAGCGGCCGTCGCACGCGGCCGAGTACGACAAGCGGTTCCGCGATACGCAGATCTTAGAAGGTGCGAGCAAGTTTGAAGACCACGAGTACGAGTGGGAGAACTACCTCCTCGGCAGCTTCATTGGCGTCGCAAACGAGGTCATTGCGCTCCGGAAGAAGCAAAAAGCGCAGCTCGTCAAGTACGTCGTCTTGCCCGACAGCCAGTTTCGGAAACTCTGGGACGCGGTCCTTATCGTGTCCTTGTCGTACGTGGGTACGTCGCCGCCCAATTGTCACCGGTATAACAGGGCCTTGCGTAGCGATCTTTCTGCCGCTCCAGCTCTCGTTCCTGAGCGACCTCATGTTCGCGTGGCGATCGCCATGCAAATGGCTCATGCTTCTTCGCTAGGACATACGAAGACCTGAGCAACTGGGCGCCCTTCTTCGCCGTCGACCGCCTCACGGACGCTATTTTTTTCACGGACATTTTCATCAATTTCCGGACGCCGCACACCACACCGAAGGGCGACTTGGAGTTTGACGCAAAAATGCGGGCGCGCGAGTACCTCTCGACGTGGTTCCCGATCGACTTTATCTCGATCGTGCCCTTTGACTACTTTGCGACCTTTTTACCGTCGGGCGGCGGCAACTCGAACCTCCTCAAGCTGCCACGGCTCCTTCGCATGTTCCGCCTCACAAAGATCCTCAAGATCGTCGTACGGAGTTGAAAGATTGATACGTTTGGACCTCAGACTGTGACAGGTCGCGAGTCGCATTTTCCAGCGCTACGAAATGCGCATCTCGATCAAGTACGGCTGGATTCGCCTCATCAAGTTTGCCGCTGGCATCCTCCTCCTCACCCACGTACCCCCGTCGTTAGGACGCTAGGGTCGTTGACCGTATTCGTGTCTAGTGGATGGCTTGCTTTGTGTACTTGGTCGCGATCATGACAGCCCCGCAAGCCACGTGGTTGAGCACCGCCAACCTTGTTGGAAGCATCTCGCCCGAGCACTACATCGGCGACGCCTACATTGCGGCCGTCTACTGGGCTGCGATGGTACACGCCACACGATCTTCTGCTCCATTTACGTTGACTAGACCATCACTACGATCGGGTACGGCGATATCTACCCGGCCAACTCGACGGAGCGCGCCTTGTTTGTCATAATGATGTTTCTCGGTGCGTGCGTCTACGCGTACGTCGTCGGTACCATGTGCCAGCTCGTCGAAGGCCTCAACGTCAACACGCTCGAGTTCCAGCGCCGCATGGTATACCGTCCCTGTCCTCTCTCTGTCTCTATTGCATGCGGTGTAGGACGAAGTCAATGATTTTTTGGACGTCAACAACATTCCGCAGAACCTCCGCATCCGCATTCGAAAGTACCTTCTGTACAAGCGCGACGCCAAGATTGGCGACATTGCCGAAGTCCTCCACTCGATGAGTCCTGCGATCCGCGATGAAGTCGCGCTCTTCAAGTTCCAGCACATTTTGAGCTCGGTGCATCAGTTTCGAGGCGCGCCCCAAGACTTTTTAGCTGCGATCGCACTCCGCCTCCAAATGAGTACAACGCAAATATTGAGGTTCAGATTGAGATTCCTCTGCCAATTCTAGTTGTCTACCCGCCCAACGAGATGATCATGGTGTTTGGCCGCATTGGCACGTCCATGTACATCATCAACCGCGGCCGCTGCCAGGTCGAGCGCATGGCGAGCGACGGCCGCATCGTCGTCGTCAACGTGCTCCACGAAGGCGCATACTTTGGCGAGCGCGGTCTCCTCTTCTCGGCCAAGCGCCGGGCGTCCGTGCGCGCGCTTTGCTTTGTCGAAGTGAGCTGCCTCACGCGCTCGGCGCTTGAAGATGTCACCAACAACTTTCCATCCGTGCGCCGCATCATCCGCAAGAGCATGGTGCGCGACGTGGTCGCCAGGAGCCTCGCGACCGGTGAGCTCGTCGCACTGGGACAGGACCCGGTGTTTCTCCAGCGACACAACCAGCTGCGGGAGCAGCTTGCGCAGCGCCATCGGCACAACAACAAGAATGCCGCGTCTGGGCCCACGACGCCCGTTGCAGCCACACACGACATGAGCGCTGCACCACCGAGTGACCCAGTGCCACCGAGCGAACCGTCAGTGCCGAGCGAGACAGTGCAAATCGCGTCGACGACCGAGACACCGCCATGCACGACGGAAGCAGACAGGAAGGACCAAGCAATCGAAGAAGCCAGGTCGTCTCCGGTGGTGCGTCACCACCGAGGGTCCCTGCTTTACACAGACACGCGCGAGTCGGTGCTGTCCTTAGAGACGCCTTTGCGCCATGACAGCGACGTGGCGTTTCGGGGCGAGAAGGTCGACGAGCTCGCCATGCCAGCGGTCGCGCACCTGCTCAAACGGCGAACGCAGAGCGTGCGCTCGAGCTTGGCCAAGGTGACGCCGATCCTCCCCAAGCCGGCGCATAAAGAAGTGTCCAAGAAGGACGCAAAGCAACTCACGATCGCGGTCAAGCCGACGCGCGAGGATGCGGCCGAGCGACTTCGAGTGCTGGAGCCGCCAGCGCACCTCCACGTTGTTGAGCCGTCGCCCATGTTGGACGATGGTCCAAGGGACCTCTCGCTTCTGCGCAAATTGAGCACGGAGCAGCAGCGTCTGCGCCGAAGCAGTATCGAGTCCATCCTCAGCCACGTCGACTCGAGTGCCGCCGAGCAAGACGAGGATGAGGACGAAGACGAGGACGACAGCTTTGACGACGGTCTCTGCGACACTGAAGACGCAGACACAGA